AGTACACGCCCCCCTTCCTGATTGGAAAAGGAGGCTTACTGCTGAGCACAGAGTTCTCTGTCGCATTTGTTAGCCTTCTGTGGAGCTTTGAGACCCATGTCTGTGTATGAAGACAGCCTGTTCCAAAGAGGAAGGGAGAGTCCATTAAACTGAGAGGTTTTCTGATCACCAGAGATTCCTGGTAAGATTATTTTGGAAGAAAATATATTTCCTACTGCTTGGCTGAGAAATCAAGACTAAACCAAATAAAATAAAGGGTTCTTAGAGCTGAAAGGGAAAGTTGGGTTTTTCTGACTCCCAGTGTAATTTGAGATTCGTTTGTTTATTCAACAGACTTCTTTTAGAATCTATTGTGTGCTGAATGCAATGGATTTCAGCGATGGAGAAAAATTAGCTTCTTAAATCTCTGAAAAATTGTTTGTAACTCCCAAAGACAGTTGTTAATGAGGGCCTCCTGGTGGTACCTTCTGGGTGACCTGGAACCTGAGACACTGTTCTGGCTAGATGGTGTCGAGGGACTGCCACTATATTCCTGTGGACAGTGTGGGTCATCCAGGCACATGTATTATTTTAAATTTTTACAAGCTGCCTTAGAGTTTCCCAGCAGCACTGAACCCATAGGATATGTGCTTGGTATAAAGGTTGTTAGGTTGGGTTGTAGGTGGAGGCTGGGTAACAAGGGCCACCTTCAGTCCCTGAAGCAAGATGCCTAGGCAGTCCTACTGTGGTGAGGTCTGGAAGGTCCCCGAGGAGCTGCTCAGGCTGAATCCTCATCGGACGGCAAAAGAAGCTATGATGTCAGCCAAGGGCTCACTCGGGAAGAAACAGCGGCAGGCAGACTCCTGCTGCCTGCTCTTTGGATCTCTTTGTGTCTAGAACTCTCTTTTCGAGGACTCACCCACTTTGGGGGTGAGTGTCTCCCCTCAACCCTTTCAGGAAATGGTACTATAGACAGGTCCAGAGCTATGTCCCCTAAGTGACTTTAAATCCCATCAAGCTGATAATCCAGACAGGACATCACACTTCAGTGCTATGAGCTGAGGCCATCTTGGTTCTTTTCCTCTGAAGGTTGAAATCTCAGCTGCTGGAGGTGTCAGCTGATGGAGTCCCTGAGGGACAGGGCCTTTGTTCTTTGGTGTATAGTACTTTACATTGTAGCTGCATGGTGATACCTCCTTGTTTTTTAAATAGTAGTCATTCTGTCTTTTTTTTTAAAAAAAAATCTCCTGTGCCATCATAAAAAACAAGAACCAAGAAAGAAAGAAAAGAGTAAACACCATATTTTCGCTTTGTCTCTCTTTATCCCTGCCTCCTGTGGTTAGCATCTAGCAAATCTTGCTGAATGAACTGAAATGACAAACTGTTTAGTTCTGTGGCTCTTTTTCTCTCTGTCGGTGATTTGTCCTGCTTTAGTGGCTGGAGAACATTAACTTCCTCAGGTCAGGGTAACAACTCCCTCTGGGCCATAGTATATGTACAGTTCTGGTCTGCCTGCACGTATTTTGTTCCTCTTCATACCCAGTGTGTTTTTTGCCCCTGCCATAGTGTTGACATGAACACCTGTGGTCACTTTGCATGTGAATCTCAGTGAGTCTCCAGTGGACCCTTCCCTTTCCCAGCACAGTGTGTAGCCTTTGTGAGTGTGGATTCTGTAGGTTCACCGAGCTGCTGGCAATGACATTGGATGGATCAGAGATGATACTAGGGTTCTGTGACAGGCACTGGAGGTCTCGGTCCTGGAGGACATTGATGTATTAGTCTCCATGTTGGCTGCAAATCCATCCTGGGCCGTCATGTATGCAGGCAGATGTCAGGCTATTTTGATGGATGCCTCTGTTAAGACATAGATGCAGAGCATTGATCACAGCTCCTCTTCTATTAAATTATGGAACTTAATCAGTTAACCCCCTTTCTCCTGGCACCCATATTGGCTTCCAGAACCAGAGACTGTGTTCTCTGCTCACACATAGGTTCTGTTTGAAAATTTTGCTAGTGTTTTGTCTCAAACTTACATTTCTCTCTTTTTTATATGCTTTCTAGATCTTGTTTGTTATTTTATAAATAATATTATGAGGTTTTTTGTGCGCATAAATATGTTAGTGCAAGTCCAAGATTGATGTCGGGAATCAATCACCCTTAGTTCATCCGTCTACATTATTGATTAGGACCCTGTCTCAGTCAGACCAGGATACCATGACCTACACTGCTCCAGTCCCACTGAGTGTAAGCAGTGAGGGAAGGAAGAAAGGACAGATGTACAGATGTGGGTACAGGAAAGCTGGGATGGGGGGTGTTCACGTGGATGGAAGCCACCTACCACCCCTGGCCACCCAGAACCTTCCATGTGCTTGTTAGGCACAGCACAGGGGAAGTCTCTATAGGTGAACATCAGCTGGGTAAGGCTTTGTCATTCCCCGTGGGGCTGAGGCTTTGGATCCTTGGCATGGCCATGCATGTGTCAAAAATACAGATCCATTCAGGGATCCCTCTGCATCCTAGACTTAGAGTTAGTCTTGCTAGCCCATTTGTGTAACATGAGGGCTGGCTTGTTTGTTGGGGTTTCTGTCCCGCCCAGTACCCCACAACCAGCAAATCCCAAAGAAAATCACATAGAGATCTCCGTAAGTTATAAAACTGATTGGCCCATTAGCTCAGGCTACTTATTAACTCTTGTAGCTTATATTAACCCATTGTTCTTATCTATGTTAGCTACATGGCTCAGTACCTTTCTCAGCCAGGCAGATTACATCTTGTTTCTTCCATGGTCTGGGCAGGACTGGGAGGAATCAGCTTCCTCATTCCCAGAATTCTCCTGGTCTCATTACATCACTTCTACTTCCTGTCTGATTTTCCCACCTATACTTCCTGCCTGGCCAATCAGCGTTTATTTAAAACATGATTGACAGAATATAGACAATTCTCTTGCACCACATTTGCTCTTTGAAATTCCATCTCCACTTGCTAAAGGACAAAGAATTTGTTTGGGTTTACAATTCCAGAGAGATGCTGTCTACAGTGGGGGGGAAACACAGATGCAAGCTGACTGGAACAGGGAGCTGGCCGATCACATTTTCATCTACAAACAGGAAGCAGAGTAGAGAACAGGAAGTAAAGGGAGGCTACAAACCCTCAAATCCTTCTTCCACTTGAGTACCTTCCTCTAGCAAGGCAACGCCTCCTAACCATGACCTCCCCAAATGGCACCACCAACTGGGGACCAGGTGTTCAAATACAGGAGCCTGTGGGAGGGACATTTCTCAAACCACCCCAATCAGTTACTGGTGTTTAGATTCATGTGGCCAAATGAAGCTTGGTGTGTTTAGAGTTTTGAAGACCCAAGCTGTGCATGAACCAAGCCAGCTATTCAGAACCCACATATGTCATCGCTACGGGTGACTTGTCCATTCTTGATTGGATGTTTAGGCAAAGGGTGGTTTTTTTTGGGGGGGGGGGATGTGAATAGCCCTAGGATAAAGACCCAGAGTTGCTGTTTGGTGTCATGAACTGGAGGGCAGACAGATGTGGATCATCAAACTGCTTACTGTGTGTGCACTGCCACGAAGGCACCCTGGATAAGAGGATTTCTGTTTGGATTTTTGAGAAGGGCTTTGCTCTGTAGCCCACACTGGTCTCAGATCCACACCTCTTTCCACAACCATTCTAGGGCTGCGATCACCAGTTTCTGCCACCACACCCAGCAAGAGGTTTTGTTTGGGAAATTCTTTTCCTTCTATAATTCTACACCAGTAGTTTTCAACCTGTGGGTCACGACCCCTTTGATTAAATGACAGTTTCATGGGGGTTACCTGAGGCCATCAGAAAACACAGATGTTGACATTATAGCTCACAACAGTAGCAAAGTTACAGTTTTGAAGAAGCAGCGAAGATAATTCTGTGACTGGGGGTCACCGCAACATGAGGAACTGTGTTAAGGGAGCACAGCATTAGGGAGGCTGAGAACACCTGCTCTTCAGACCTAGCTGGGGACTTTATATCTTGTTATTAAAAGCAACCTTTAGATGTATCCGCTCCGTGTTTTGGTGCCATGAAGGTGTTTTTTTGTAACGCTGAGCACCTGATTTCCCTTCTGTTTGTGGTTCTCTTTTAGTTGGCTTATCATAGTGTTAGCAATTAGATTCTCAGATCAGTGGGAGCTTGTGTTAAAAAAAACAAACCCTGGCCATCCAGATGGCTCAGTGGATAAAGGCTTTCTGCCAAGGCTGATGACCTGAGTTTGATCCCGGAGGCCCACGTGGTGCAGAGAGAGAGCATTCTTCTCTCTTTGGGTGAGAAAGACTTCCGTGAGTTGTCCTCTCAACTCCACATGTGCACAGTGGCACACATGTGTGAACACATGCACCTGCCCGCTCCATTCTCCTCCCCCCAGACATGCACACACAAAGTAAATAATAAACGCGAAGGAAAACGCTACAAATACTGAACCCTCGTGGTGAGCTTGTTCTGTGTTGTCTCAGCTGCAGCTGGGAGTAGCAGGCATTGCTAAGGAGCCCTGTGGGGGGTGGCAATGAGACTCAGTTTCCAGATGGAGAATCCGGAAACACGGTTCCTGGTGATACCATGACTGAGACCATATGTTCATGCCTGGTTCGTCCTGGCTGAGACACAGTTGCAGTCTCCAGGTTTCTGTGCATCTTCAGCAGCCGGGACTCTGACACCAGCACTTGGGCTCCTCCCCTGGACCAGAAGTAAACACAAGAATAATAATAAGGGAGGACTTTCATAGGTCATGGAGTGATGCCTGTCTGTTTGCCTTCTGTGAGGGGTCCAACTTCCCTGGAGAGCGATGTACTGTCTCTGCACTGATTTCTGGAGTTCTGAGGTCAGCAAAAGCTGGAATGTCCACAAGCATAGTGTTGAGAGTCGCCAGAAGCAATTATCAAATAACTTGTCTTCTTAAATGCAGGGTGGATCTCTTGTGCTTATATTGTGAGTAAGGCTTGTACAGACTTCTCTGTTTTTATTTTTTACCATTTTCACAGGCTAAACATATTTCTGACTGGCATGGACCCTTTCTACTTCCATGCGGTGAACGTCATTCTACACTGCCTGGTGACCCTTGTGCTGATGTACACCTGCGATAAGACTGTCTTCAAGAACCGCAGGCTGGCTTTCGTCACCGCCCTGCTCTTCGCGGTGCACCCTGTCCACACGGAGGCGGTGAGTCTGATGGGCACCATGAAATAATGACCACTAACAGTGAAGCATCTACCCGCGTGTATCAGCTGAACCAGTCATCTCCCCCTTCAAATCCCATGCATTGAGAGACCCACACTATGTTTAACTTGACCTCTGTACCCTTCTGCTGGTCAAGGCTGCTTTTAGATTGTTCCCATGGGCTCTTCCCAGGATTCAATTGCATCTTTGCACAGAGGATATGAGAATAATCAGGGGTAAAGGACACTTCCAGTATTCTGTTTGCAAAATAGTCTAAACCCCGTGTGCTTTTCGATGGCAGGGGTCATTGTGAGGCCGCTGCCATGATGTCATCATCCCTGCTCCGCTTCATTCCTGTGTTTACATTATGAAACTCAGGTGCTGGAGGAAAGACTGAGGAAGCTGGACTGATGGCCGGGCTTCCTGCCTGTTCCTATCATGTTTGGTTTCCTTCCAAGTTACAGAGATGGACTTGGGTCACCTAGAAATTGCTTTCTGAGTTCCTTGATAAGAGGTTTAGTGATTTTTGTGTGAGGAAGACCTTGTTTAGAAGGTATTGCTAGTTTGGATCTGTGGCCCTTCATAAAAGGTTTGGTCCTAGCCAGGTGGTGGTGGCACATGCGTTTAATTCCAGCACTCAGGAGGCAGAGCCAGGTGGATCTCTGTGAGTTTGAGGTCAGCCTGGTTTACAAGAGCTAAGTCCAGGACAGGCTCCAAAGCTACAGAGAAACCCTGACTCAAAAAGCAAAATACAAAACCAAAAAACAAAACAAAAAAATGCTTTGGTCCATCAAGCACCAGACAGTGTCATGAAGCCACAATGTCTTGTCTAAGTTACGGCGGCTGATTTCTTTTATATGTTACTATGGATAGGTTAAAGCTTTCTGATGGGTCCCAGGCACCAAGGTTTTCAGGGAATGGAGCCTTCCAGTGGGTGATGGGAATCATGGTTTTTGAAGCATGGCTTGTGAGACCTCTGCTGGCTCTGGACACTTCCTTGAAGATCTGCCCAAGAGCATACTTTTTAAAGGCTCTCTTTAAAAAGAGATCACACTGGATCTCTTCTGGAGATGTTCTCATCTTTCCTTTCCTTCTTGTTTGGATGAGGAAAGCTCACACATTGGGATCTGACCGTGTCCCAGCAGTACACGCCTCTGAGACCCTGCAGACGTGTCGGTGTTGCGATGCCTCTGCCAATTAAGGCATCAGAGTCATAGAGAAGGGCTCCTATTTCCGTGAAGAATACTTAGAAATACTGGGTGGTACTCTGTGTTGAAGTTCTGAGTCAGAAGTGAAATAGTGTCCATAGGGACTCGTAGAAGGTTTATTTGAACTGGCATGAGATGTCTGATTCAATTAATTGATATCACAGTGAGGACTGGTCTTGCCACTTTGGTGTATGATGGTGATGTTTCCATGAACAGAATTCTAAATCTCTGAGCCTGAAGTTTGACAAATAAGTATGTGCGTGAGTGCGTGCATGCATGCCTGTTTGTGTGTGTGTGTGTGTGTGTGTGTGTGTGTGTAGTCTCAAATGTATCTCATCTAAAGACTGTATATATATACATGTATGTCTGGTGTGGGGGGGGGAGGGACAGATAAAAATCACTTTATAAACAGTTCTATCATTAAGATAGTTTTTCTAACTCTTTCTGAGTATGTTAGACTTGGCAAAGTTCCTATAAGTGGAAGAGTTTGACATGGAAGTCCTCCAGCGTGTCTTGTAAAGTTGTTTACTACACGCCTGTAAAACGTTACAGCGAGAGGAAACTCTGAGGCAGGTTGTTACGAAGACTGGTGTATTCACACTCATTGTTTCTGTCCAAATTAAAGCCAAACCTGAATGATTTGTCAGATTATGGATCATAAAACATTACACAAAGTGGTAGACAGACCCCTAAGGGGTAATTGCCTCTGACTTTGGAGTCCAAAGCGTTAAGCCATGCCTGTAACACACTCCTTTCCATTCTCACCCATGGGAACAATCTAAAAGGCTTAGAATTGTGTGGTACACGTTCTTACTCTTCTGAGAGAAGGTAGACCAGCCACAGATACCCAACTAGCCATATTTAATAACGTGCACACTTTCATGGTTAGTACTTAACATTTTTCTACTTTCATCATGATGTGAATTATAGCTAGAATACTAATACATAATTAAAATATAATATGTAGAGATTTATGGTTATCCCAGGAAATTTAAAAAGTAATTAAAGGCCATAGATATAGCTCTGTGGTAGAGCGATTGCCCAGGATGTATGAGGCCCCGAGTTCCATGTCTTGCAGCACACACACACACACACACATACCCCTAAAGAATTCATATGTATTTTTATTATAGAGAGGTAATGTGATAAACAAAGTATATTTAGACATTAGTGTGCAATGCATCAAGAGAAAATGCTGATGGAGAAGTAGCTCTGAGGAAGCTCACAAGAAGGGAAGACTTGAGAGGTCTCCACTGAAGGAAGAACTCTCCCTAGCAGATGTAATGGCTAGGCCAGTGATTTCAGCACTTGGGAAGTGGAGGCAGGGAGATCAGAGGTTCACAGTTATCCTGGGCTATGGAGTGCAGAGTTCCAGGCCAACTTAGGACACGTCTCAATAAAAAAGAAAAGAAAAGAATTAAACACCCCTAGTGTTTAGGCAAACGATGAGGCAGCTGAAGCTACTTAGGCTCCCTTGGGTATAATACAGCCTAATTTTAAAATGTCAGTGTTTATGGTGCATGAGACGTCAGATTCTTTAGTGTTTAAAAGTATGCTTATAAGTTTTATGTATGAACGTAAGTAGATGAGAAATACCTAACTCTCCAGTGCGCTTTGTGGACGCTGTGGAGGAAAATAAGCAGAGATTTCTGTTCCTGGCAGTGTGGGCCATATCGAAGGTGAGGATGATGATAATCCATATTTACAGATTTGTATATTACAGTTGCAGGGCTGCCCTGCACGTGAGGGCAGCTGCGGGAGTGGAGAGAGTGCGTGTGAGAGGCAATCTTGGGCAGTGTGAGCAAGAGCTGATAGTGGTAGGGTGGATTCTTGGGGGAGAAAAGGCAAATCCTATTAGCAAAATGACCTTTAGAAAGGGGCTTCCAGGGGCTTTTGTGCTAATAAACAAATCCATAGTAACACAATTAAAGAGGCAGAGGTTTTGAAGAGCCGGGCCGTTATTTGGAGAAGGACCCTGGGAAGAGACTGTTTTGTAAGATGAAGGAGCCGCTGGCAGAGGTGAGCAAATGTGACCCCACATAGCATTTACACTATAAAGTGAAATGGAGTCTGCTCTTTAATTATAGATTGGAGCTCGCGTTTCTAGGGAGGAGGATAGAGAGACAGAAGAAGCAATGTGCTTCGTAGACAATTAGTGATAAATTATTAAACATGCACATTAAGACATGGGAGCCTTGGGAAATCACTCATCTTTGTTAAAAAAAAAAATGACTGAAAACGGGACCATGTGTTATTCCAGAAGGATGGAGAATTTAAATTTGGGGGCGGAATTTTGTTTAGATGCATTGATATGCGTATGTGTCCGCATGGCGATGTGGCTTGCTTGTATTTATAAGTGAGGCAGTTGACAAATAGCTAATGAGGGTAGGTGGGCTTGTAGGTTCCAATTAATGGCGGGGGTGGGATGCAGGGTTCGTCCCCCAGTTTATATACAAGCTCACAGGAAGCTGGAGAGTAGACATACAGATCACAGATCAATATAAGAGAAACAGGAGAGAAAAGTGGGGGCACGTTGACTAATCTTATCTTTCAGCAAGCACTTGAATGCATGCCTATGGGGACATGGGGTAGTGCCCCTCAAGGCAGGGAGTAAAAAGGTTCAGACTACCTCATTTACGCCCTGCAGAGTTTTGGGCAGGTTTCCCAATGTTGTATTTCTTTGAAAACGTATGCTTTCCTGAATTCTGAATCAGGGAAAAAGCATGGAAAATTATTGTGATTATCACATTAAATTGAAAGTTTAAATTTGGTCATCATAGAGATCTTTGGTCTGCAGAAGTGAAAGCAAGAGCAAGCACCAAGAAGAGTTTGAAGTTTAAAGCCGACATTTCTAGACTCAGAACAGGAGGGCTTGGGAGAAAATTGGCTCTGATCTAATCAGTCCGGCTGGCTCCTGGCTTTTGTCATGTGTCCTGTCTGATGCTAATGGAGCTCATTCTTTCAGATAAAATAAATATTTGTAACTGTGAAGAATCTACTTGGTACCAACCCCGTCGACAGATTCCTAAAATAGTGCAGAAGGCAAATGGTGTTCTAATGGGCGTTTCCCACCTGCGATTTTTGTTATCCTGGCTGACAGGTCCACAGGTCGATGACAGCTCCAATACCTTAACCTAAAAATACCGAATTCCAAATTCTCTGCAGCCTGACACTTTTTGAGTGTTGACATGTTACAAGCAGGAAATTCCTTGCCTAACCTCCTGTGACAGGTCACGGCTGAAATATGGCAACGCTGAAAGTATTGTACAAGTTTACCCTCAGACTGTGTGTATAGAAAGTATGAAGAAATATGGGTGTATTTCATGTTTAATTTTAGGTCCCATCCCTAAGACATCACATAGCTCGTACATGAAGATATTTTAAAGTAAAAAAAAAAATATCCAAACTCCAAGACATTTCTGGTGCCAAGCATTAGGGGTATGGGAGACTCATCGGTTTTAAGTTCTATTCAGCCATATTCACTAGCATTTTCCAGGGTGTTAACAGTGTGTTAACATAGCAGTTCCTAGAGATGAAAGCCTTGTGACTGTGTATCATGCTTATATTTCACCCACTGTAGCTGCCCAGCTGCCTTTTTTATACCCGAACACCAGGAGGTTCAGCCTCCATGGCCACAGCATCACCACCGTCACCTTCCATCCCTGCTGCTTGTCACTCTCAGCTCACGCTCTGTCACTTCTGCTCCCCCATCCAAAACCACCGCAAGGTCTCCCACCTCCATGAGGAATGCATGTCAGTGCCTTTCCTGACCCTGCCCGGCCTTAAACTCCTGAA